GCGCGCTCAGCTCTAAGAGATTATAGAATAGAGATGGAGAAGCTGATAGATGATGATCCAAAGAAATTCTTTAAACACGTGAATTTCAAAAAGGGAAAAAGTGAGGATCTCCCGCATGAGATGACTTATTTGGATGTAAAAGCTAGCGACCAAACAACAATTGCCAGTTTATTTGCAAAACACTTTGGTTCCGTTTATAGCTCTTTGGAAGGTGATCTGCGATATGAAAGTTCAGAAATAGAAAAAATACGTGATATTTGTGCTGAAATATCAATGATCGAAATAACCGAGGAGCTTGTTGGTCAATATATAAGCATGCTGCCAGATGATCTTGTCTGTGGTCCTGATGAAATTCCAAACAAATTCATCAAGTATTGTTTGATTTCATTGCAGGGGCCAATATCAACACTATTAAAGGAATCACTTGAAACTGCCACAGTACCGCAGTTATGGAGAACGTCATTTGTCAAACCAGTTTACAAGAACGGCGATATAAACAACGTTCAAAACTATCGCGGTGTTGCTTTGCAGTGCATTACGGCAAAAATTCTCGATTCGATCGTCACAGACCATCTCAATCTATATTTGAAGAACATAGTACACGAAAGTCAGCACGGATTCATCAAGAACAGGTCAACGATAACAAATTTAGTAGAATTTACTTCAAAAACGATTATTAACATGGGAAGGAGATATCAAACAGACGCCATCTATTTGGACATAGCCAAGGCATTTGACTCGGTTAACTTAAATTTACTTATTCAAAAACTTGAAATCATGGGATTGAATGAGCAGCTGTTAAAATGGATCAAATCTTACTTGTCTGGTCGCAGACAAATTGTAAAGATTGCAAATATCAAATCAGACCCAATCGAAGTTACTTCTGGGACGGGTCAAGATATCCCATTGGCGCTACTTTGTTCATCATGTTTGTAATTGATCTTCCTTTCGTCGTGACCAATTCTACCATGCTTTCATTCGCTGATGATACAAAAATTTCAAAATGTATCACCTCAACAGATGACTGCATTAATCTTCAAAATGACTTGGATCGTGTAGCGGATTATTATAGACGCAATTTATTAAAACTAAATGTAAACAAAACAAAGATCATATCATATCATCGGGGATCGCTGCAATATGAATACAAATACAACATAGGCGGCGTTCAAATTGAAAGAGTCTTTATAATAAGGGACTTGGGAGTGCTGCTTGATGTGCAAATGAATTTCAAATCACACATCGAGCATGTCACGGCTAAAGCCAAATCAAGACTGGCTTGGTTAAAGTTCTACGGCAAGGACTTCGTCGATCCATTGACAATTAAACGCCTTTATTTTACATTTGTATTACCAATCATCGAATATGGATCAGAAATATGGAATCCACACTATGACAATATGTGCAAAAGAATAGAGTCAATACAAAAACAATTTTTACTTTATGCGCTAAGGAGAATGAACTGGGATAGCTATAGACTTCCAAAATATGAGCATAGACTGCTATTTCTACAAATGATTACGCTGGAGGAAAGACGCAAGATGGCGCAAGTGTCTTTCATCTTCAAAATTATCAATGGAGATATGAAGTCAACTCATATATCAAACAGTTTAAATTATTATAATTCAGCGCATAATACCCGTGCAATACCGCTTTTTAATATTCCAGTTAGAGGAAGTGATTACACAAAATATGAACCAATTAATTATATGCTTATTACATTCAATGATTATTATACAAAGAAAACACCAAATTGTGATACTAAGTTGATTGATTTAGAAGTAAATTTATCGACGGTAAAGCTTAGAATTGAGAAATATTTGAAAGAAAATAGATGAATTGTAAACATAAATGAAATCTTTTTATAAAAATTATTATTTATCTCATTCAAAAATGCTTGATGCAAGAATTTAATCATATTGTATTTATTTAAATTATTTTGAATAAACCACCAAGGCGAAGGAACGCTGTTCGGTGCAGTTATTATTATTATTATTAATTAGCGGCGTTACGAACCAGCAAAATGTTTTTGTATATTACACTCATAAATGTTGAAGAAATTTAAATTTTTGGTTACATTTCAAAAAAATGGACCCCTCGAAGCGAATTCAATTATGTCAAAAAAATGTCATATTCGTTTTTTTCCGAAAATCGAACCACCCTAGTGATCTTGTTGTGTTTGTGACCAATACTTCTTGTTAAGATCGATTTTTTCGGATGCGGGTTTCACATAGATGTGAAAATGTTCAATAATTGTTAAATAGGGGAAGACGTGGTAAACCGACGCACGGAATAAACCCACGTACTCAAAATATCTCGATAACATCAATCCCAATATGTCAAGTGTTTGTGTCAGACACTTATTTGGCATCGGACACTTTTCATTATCAGTTTCACATGAACGCTACACGTGACGAATTACACACCTAGTGTGTAAGCTAAAGTATTGGAATCGGTCGAAAAATTAAGACCCCTCAAAAACGTGTTTTCTGGTTGATTTCGGGGCCAGAGAACACGAATAGTTTTTTCCATGTCCCAATGTATGTGCGTACCCTGTAAGTAAAAATTTGTTAACACGATAACTTTCAACCAAGAAATGTAATTCAAAATTTGACTTCACATGATTGAAGGTCGCGAGCAATAGAAACCATTAGTCTTTGAGCGATTTTGGTTGATAGAGTAAAGTGAACTTGAGAAAAATTTCATTTTTCTTCCAAAAGTGATATTTGGGAGCCTGAAACCCAAAACAAGTTATAAAAATTCTTTTCGGAAAAAAAGCATAAGAATGTGTTTTAAATGAAAAATACGATAGAAAAAAACTGAGAGTTAAAAGAGCATATACAGAACTGAGAACTAAAACAGAATATAATTTCAGTTAGCGACAAAACAAACAAGCGATATGTTATATTTTAACTCTCAGTTTTTAATCTTCTCATTTTTGCTCTGAAAGTAAATATGTTTTTATTTGACTCCGAAAAATATTATATTTAGCTTTCGTCACAATGCGTTGCATTTTTGCTCTTTCATGTAATATGACACGAGATTAACTTAGTGAATTGTTTGTCAACATTCTCTCTTTCAAAAATGATTTGGATACAACGAGGCATCTTTTCACTTTCGCCGTTTTAATGTGTGATCGAAGGAACAGAGTTTTTTACTCCAGTTTGATTTTGAATAGTACGAATTGAAAATCAGTTTTTGTTGGAGCACATCAATTTTGGTGCAGTACTTTCCCGAACTCGTACAGATTGATAGCACATTGAACACTTTTTCAGCAATTTGTCTATTGCCTTTTGTTGTATGCGCCATTACAATATTCTTTTGCGATATTTTTTATACAAAAGCGGTCTACGTACACGTTTTTTCGATCGTTCAGTAGATATTCACTAGCCTATTT